CACAGGCCAGAGTTAAAATTGAATTTCTAGTCAGTTACTCAAGTCTTTCTCCTCATCCTTCCTGGTTCTCTTTTTCCTTTCCCATCAACTTGGGATCACACACCCTAGTCTGGTTCATGGATTTTCTTTGGGTCCAGATCTGTGACATCATCGGCATAAGTAACTTACTGTGAAGAAACTTCCATGAATTCTGATTAACTAATGGCTCTGAATTTATAGTCTTGAAGAGTTTTCTATTCTCTTTTTTCCTCTTTCTTCATGTTACAATCCCATTTCCCCTTAACAATTTGATTTATATGAAGGAAATGTGAGTTATATATGATTTGTATGAAGAGTTTAAAACTGGAAGGTACTGAGAAGATCATAGGGTTATAGATTTAAAGCTGGAACTTTATTATTGATATATATTTATATTGACAGATGGAGAAATTGAGGACAAGAGATAAAATGACTTTCCCAAGGTCACTCAGATAATAAGTGGCAGGAACCCAGGGTTCTCTGACTCTGGAGTCATCATTTTTCCCCCATTGTAGTGCGCTGCCCAAGGTCATATAACCATTGTTTGAGAAGCAGAATTCGAATTCAGTTTTTTCTTACTCTAAGGCCAGCCCTCTCTCCATTTTGTACATCATGATACATGAATTAGAAGGGAGTACAGCATCTTTTAGTCAGAGTACTGGATTTGCAGTCAGGAAGAACTGGGTTCAACTCTCACCTTTGACACAAGCTAAGCCACTTAATTTCTATCAGCCTCAGTTTCCTCATCTGTAAAATTAGGGGTTTGGACTAGATATCATTGAAGTCCCTTCTAGCTCAGAATCTATGACTCTGTGGTCCAATACAAATGAATGGCTATTCTGTGTGATGATAAATTTACTTCTTGAACAATATGGTTTACATAGTCAAGTGCTAGAATAGCCCATAGGACTACCAGTCTGTACCTATAAGAAGTTTGCCACTGTATATACCAAATCAGCCTGCAGATCAAACTGGCTACAAGCCCACTGACAGAACGTATCTCTGTTATTCGAAGACCAGACTTGCTAAGTTCAGAGAGGCTTATTGCTAAATTGACCACAGCATGATGAATTCTTTTGCCTATAATTCTCCAACACCAGGTAAAAAGGTATAGAAGCTTTGTGATCTGCACTAACAGAGAGAAATCGCAGACCCTTCAAGTTGTTAGAGTAAGTATACAACACTCATGTTTTGGCTGAAAAAGTTTGTTTTCTCTGGAAGGAAGATGTATTGTTTTTGGTGAAGAGGTGATCATTGTATTTATGACTTTCAACATACAGGTGTTGGACAAGATGATTTTTAAAGACCCCTCTAGCTCAAGAACTATTAACCTATGATCAACAATGCACATGAAATGAGTCAATGATTACCAGTTTATTTGATCAGTTCAATAACAACTGATGTGTATGTAGGAATTTAAGGTTTACCCAGCCCTTTATGTACAGCTTCTTATGTAATCATCACAACAACTCTGAGTTAATTACTACACATTTTATTATCCCCATTTTGCAGCTGAATAAACTGGGACTCAGGGAAGTTGGATTTTGCTTGGCTTCTCATGACATATAACAAATTAATTTGCATGAGAGACAATTCTTACTTGACTTCCTCCTCTAAAGATGTGGCCTCAGTGGCTATTTCCATTTACAATGCATAAAAGAAAAAAAAAGAAAATCCATTGAATGGTATTCTGAGTGGGTGAACTATAGTTTTCAAGCCTGGAATAAATGAAAGGACTGTCTACCTTCAAAACAGCACAGGAGCATAAGGTCTTTAAATGAAGTCATTGTTGAATAAAAATGTAGTAGAGAAAGTTGGCATGCTCTGGATGGTTCATTCATCATCTTAAGGAAGGCTCCCTCTTAAGAATATGTAAACAGAATGAAGAGCTTTCTCTTAAGATCATAACAGAACATTTCACCTCATTATGTTCTCTCATTTTCCTTGTTTTATTTATTAGCATTTGGTATTCATAAATGCAAGATGTTCTTATGAAATTGATATCTTCCATGACCCAAAAGAATTCTTTCCATCATGGGCCTAGCCAATGCTGTTCAGCAGTGTAGAGCTCTGGAGGTACTCAATGGGTTACAACTCAGGACCTAGACACTACGGGTCTAAACAGACTGAGTGCAATCTTGGAGCCTGCCCCAAAAGATCACTCTCAGTTCAGCTCATATTGCCCCCAGTAAGAGTTTCCATTGAGAAAGATCTCCAAATATAACTCATGTCTAGATCTCAAAAGAGAGGCAGGATGATGTAGTAGAAATAGTATCCAATATGGAGTCAAGAACCTGGGTTCAAATTGTGCTTTTGATATTTACAACTTATGAGACCTTGACCCAGTCTCTTAACCTCCATGCGTCATTCTCCTGGAAAATAAAGGGTTAGACTAGATGACATCTAAAGTCCTTTCCAACTCTAAATGTAGAGAAAAGGACAGTTTATTAACTGAGTGGAGATGGCCAGAGTACAAAATAGCGTGGCATGGAGATGATCAGGAATATGGCAGAGAAATAATAATAGCTTGCTCATTATGTAGAATTGTAAGCTATGCAAAGTCCTTTATGCATATTAGCTCATTTAAAAACCAAACAAACACTTTCTTCTTAAAGCTCTATGTTAGTACAAGCTAGCCTCGTTACCTAGTTCCTCTTGTGACCACTGGATTTTCTACCTGGCCTTCAAGTTAGCTTAAAATGGAGGTGGGATTTTTTCCTGTGCTAAATTAATGAGTAAGGCATAAGAATCAAACTTATTACCCTGCTTTTATTGAACTATAAATCTTGTCAGTTACTTAGGTACTTTGCAAGAGATACTAATTGTTTTAGTTGATCAAGGTACAATTTTGGAAAGCAGCTAGGTGACACAGTGCATAGAGTCCTCGGCCTAGAGTCAGGAAGATTCATCTTCCTGAGTTCAAATCTGGCCTCAGAAGTGTGCAGTGTGACCCTGGGCAAGTCACTTAACCCAGTTTGGCTCAGTTTCCTCATCTGTAAAGTGAGCTGGAGAAGGAAATGGCAAATCACTTCAGTATCTTTGCCAAGAAAACCCCAAATGGTGTCACAGAGTACGATATGACTGAAACAAGTGGACAGAAACCAAAAGGTACATTGAATAAACAGCTTATCACTTATCACTACAGCAATCTATCTCCATTACACAACCTGAAAGACTAAATTGGAGGAAAATTTTATGAAGGAAGAAACGTAGGATCCAGAAAGAACGGGGGAGGCAAGTCATCAGATAAAGCCATTAACTGGAAATCCAGCTGAGTAATCCTACTTCTGCCAATTAACTCCCAGAAGCTGTGCAAATCACTTGACCTTGAATTTCTGTTTCCTCCTCTGTAAACTCAGGATGGCAATAGCTAACCAAGGAAGCAGGCCTGTGACTACAAAGAGTGAACTGCTACCATAGTATGGGAAAACCGTTTATTGCTGTTCATAAGCTGGAATGTTTATGTGGATAAAATGTAAGTTAAGGGCAGGGGTCATATCTAAAATAGAGATTTCCCAGAGCCTACTCGAAAATGGAAGAGTTGAACTAAATAATCTTTGAGGTCCTTTCCAGTTCTAAATTCTACGAGCTTAAAGTGTTCTGCATCGATTCACAAATACTAGCAATAAACACAAGCACCAGTGGAACGGAAGGAAGATTGCAGCAAGAAGACTCAGTAAGTCCATGAACAGACTAGAAAATCTAGCACATACATGTCAGTAGCAATGTTTGTACAACTGTTTTAGCCAATTTCAATTTTCCATATCTTGACTTCATAAACTCAGTAAAAAATACCTTATTAAATGCTAACTGAATGTCTTAAAGGAGTTACTGCTTCTTTTGTCTGGGCCAGTTGGCCCAGTAGATTATGGGAAGGTGAGATCATGGGATTCAATCCCCACTGAGGGCCACGTGGCTTTACAGAAAAAAAAATGTCTGTTCCTTAGTCGCAGTCATACACTGCCCCCTGAAGCCTGGCCAGATGTTGAAGATAAAAAGCACAGAGAACCCAACACAAGCCATTACTATTGCCAAGGACAGAGCCAAAATTGGCCAGATGGAGGGAACCTCAGGGTGATTCTCAGTGGCTACCACTCTGCCTCTCCCAGGATGAAATCAGAGGGACATTCACTAGTGAAATTTAGTCTGCTTTGTCATTGTTGACCTCTAGCCCCAATACACTCCATTGTAGACTCTGAGACAGACTTAAAAACCACAAGGAAAACAGGAAGAACCAAGAAACAAAGGTTTGAATTACTTGTAAAGTCATCCCTAGGTTATGTTATTTTGCTGAAAAAGTAGGAACTAACATAGTGAAAGGATCCTAGCCAATTATTAGCCAGAGTGGAAGTGAGGAATGGGGAAGTAATCAAATACAATAAGGTAGGGGAAATATTTTATAAAGTTCAGGTGGTATTGTTCATATGGTTTCCAAAGTAATCTTCCCAAAGTGAGAACTTGACTATGTCCACTTGCTACTCAATAATTTCCTGGGGCTCCCAGTTACTGTACCTCTGGGACCCAACAGAAAGTCCTCTGACAATTAGAGATCTTCTCAATCTGGCCCCTTCCTAACTTTCCAGTCCTCTTAAGCTTTATTCCCCTCCTGTAATGCAGCAGACTTGGTCTAATTGATGTTCTGCATGCCTGACACTCCCTTTTCTGCTTCTACGCCTTTGATTTGGCTATTCAGCCTGCCTGGAATGCTCTCCTTCCTCACTTCCTCCTCTTAGAATATCTGGCTTTCTCTAGGACTCAGCTCAAACACCACTTTTTGCAGGAGGCCTCCCATAGTTCCTCCTTTGTGGTTCCTTCCTCTCTAAAGTTACTTTCTATCTACTCTGTGTGCATCTTATACATATGCATTAGTGTACAATATGTTTCTACCATTCAAATATAAGCTTCTTGAGGACAAAGATTATTTTTGCTTTCTTTTTATCCCCAGCATGTGTTATAGTGTTTGAAACATAGTAGATACTTACAATGTTTGTTGATTGATTGATTGTTACTACTGCATCTCTGGCGGAGAACGAGGGAGAAATGTGCAATCTCTATGGGCCGTCAAAGTGTCGGCTTAGCTTATCCAATAATGGGAAGTAGAGGTGGGACCTACTGTAAACATAGGTTCAAGACAAGAGAGGAAATGAGCATACAGTAAACAGTCATGGGGTAAGGCTATGGAGGGATTTGTTGACCCAAGACCCAAGGCATGAGGCAATACGAACAGGTGGAAGAGGAGAATTTTCTATCAAGAGCTGAGCTAGACAAAAATCTGGCTTATGTAGATTTTGCTGAAGAGGAGTAGTTAAAACAGAGATAGAGTGAGGCAAGAAAGCATACAACTTCTGAAGGAACCAAGCCATAGAGTGCTTCAAAGAGCCATAACCAGGAATTCTTCTACTCAGGGCCAAAACCACAAAATGTGCCTGAGGATGAAAAGCATGAAATATATTCTCTAAACACCTTTTGAAGACAAATTCAACCAAAAGTAGAGGGAAGAGATTTTAGGGAGTAGGATAGAGAGACAGAGCTACAATAAGATGGGGGAGAAAAAAAATAAGCTATCTTGCCGCTTCCTATTTTAACTAATTGTTCTTGATAACTAGGTCCTAAATTCAGCTATTTATTTCTGAATCCCCGTATGTGCGCTTTAAATTTCGACATGGTAGGACAAATCTCCAGTCACACCACATTAGTTTGGCTCTGGATTTCCAAAGAGAATAAAGGAAATACCAAAACCTAAAACCCGTAGGGAGATAGTTATAGGACCTAGGTATGAAAGAATTATTGTTGTTGTATAGTCATTTTTCAGTTGTGTCTGACTCTTTGTGACTCCATTTGGGGTTTTCTTGACAAAGCTACTGGAGTGGTTTGCCATTTCCTTCTTCAGCTCATTTTACAGATGAGGAAACTGAGGCAGACAAGGTTAAGTGACTTGCCCAAGGTCACACAGCTAGTAAGTGTCTGAGGCCAGATTGAATTCAGGAAGATGAGACTTCCTGACTTTAGGCCTGGTACTCTATCCAGTGAGTCTGGAGGTAAGGGAGAGATTTTACTCTCTATAATAAGGGATTCAGGGGGGCAGATCTCAAGGTGACTGAGCAGAAGAGCTACGTGAATGAAGTCTCTGCCAAAGACCCAGACTCTCATATTGCATAACAAGGGTCAGAGAAGCATACCAGAAGGCTGCTCTAATAAAACAGTTCTGTAGCAATCAAACTAAAACCAACTTAATAATATAAAGGTCTAAATCTACCATAATTTTGGACAGGAAGGCCTTGAGAAGAAGAGGCCAAGTGTCCCCTGGGATTAAATAGTGAAAACCTTTCCAAATTGTGACTTCAACCTTTTCATGTATTATGGCTCATCACCCTTCATCCTTCACCCCATGTTCCCGTACATTCCCATTGTGCTTCTTAGTAAATATACTATAACCTCACCAAAGAGGATGGAATACTCTCAGTAGGAAGTAAGCAAGGGTTTGTTTATTTTCTTTTAAGAGATCTGAAAAGGAAGGAATCCAGGAAAGCAAGAAGAAGGAGAGGCAGCTTGAAACCTGAAAGGGGCACTAGTGAAAGTAGATCTGGGGCCTGTGGGTGAGAAAATTAATGGGAAAGATGACACCATATATGGGATGGAATGTGGCTCACACAAAAAATAACTTCAAATTTCTTCCTGCCCTGTGCCATGCCCAACTCAAGCACAGACTACTCCCCCCCCCGCAAAAAAAACCCTCAAATTGTTAGTGTTCGTGTGTGTTCACGAATTTACCTGAATTAAACATGGATGCTTCTCTGCTCTTCTAATCTTAGGAATCAAGTTCTCAGTTTCCTAGAGACCAAGATATCAGATGAAGCACATGGTCCTGTGATCCTCTAAAAGAACTACAAGATAAGAAATTCCCTCTGGGGTCATTTTCTTGGCCCTAGTTTGACATGAGTTTGGCCCAAGTCACAGTCACTTAATCTATATTTATAAAGCTGTTTGTTTGTTTGTTTTCACATTTTTAGCTTTAAAATGAACTGCTGGATGTGTCCACAGAAATGTGGGGGCATTGCAGCCTCCTCCCGAGTCAATACTCCCATTATGATGGAGCAACAGGACAAGAGACAAAGTCAAACCAAAAGCTGAGATATTTAACAGGCTCCAGATGAAAGTTTGGTTACTGTCCAATAGACCTCCTGGTGACTTGGAAAGGAAATGTTTTAGTAGAAGAGGAAAACAACAGTGAGAATTATGTCCCTTAGCTGAGTTTTAAAGGCAAAGAGTACTGAACAGTCAGAAGACTGAATATAAGTCCTATGTAGTCATTTACTAGTTGTGTGATCTTGAGCAAATTGCTTAACCATTCTGTGCCTCAGTTTCTTCACCTGTAAAATGGGAATAGCAATATATCCCCTGACTTCTTCATAGGGTTGTCCTGAGGATAAAAAGAAATAATGTACGCTGGAATAGCTGGAAGCCTGAGAGATCCATTGCCAGTCATATTTGTATATAAAAGGCAGAAATGTGGGTCAGAAGGGCTTTTATGTTTTTTTAGATTTATTTGCATGCTGATCCTAAGAGGATCTTGAAAGTGAAGGAGAGTTTGTAAGTCCAACTTCCATACAGCTCCTGTGGGGTTTCTTTGGCTATGCCCTAAAAGCAGTTTTGGAAGTGCAGGATTCCCACGAATAGTTAAATAGTAAAACTCTATTAGGCAATTTTTGGAATCATGGGCTTGAATTCAGCATGAGGCACAAAAAAAAATCCTACCATAAAACAGACTCAATGGTGGGTTGGAGGAGTGGGTGGGGAGGGGAAAATGGAGGAGAATGGAGAACAGGGGAGGAAGTTCTCTGCCTGGCTTTTATTCAGCTATCCCTTAACTGGCTATAATAGCTCATCTCCTCAGCTATGATAAAATAGCTGTTAGCCTACTTTTATCAGGGAGAAACTTTCTAACTGCACCCCAGGAAAGAGTAGTTGAAGTGGCAATGAGGCATCCCATAAGAGGTGAGGCCTAGAGGCTATGAGTGATTTCTGTGCATGTCCAGCCTTCTCATCGATCAGGGTGTATATTTATGGGAGAGTAGGGTCTCATTTTATGAGGAAAATGTTCTATCGTTACTTTCTTGCTGTGTTATGCTATTAAATGCCTTTGCTTCAAACTAATTTTGTACTCGGGCTATCTAGCTGTCCTGAAACACCTTAGTGGTGCAGTGGATGTAACACTGGAATCGGAGTCAGGGAGACGAGTTCAAATCCAACTTCAGACCTGAGTTCAAATCCAACTTCAGACATGATCCTGGGCAAGTTGCTCAACCTTGTCTGACTCAGTTTCCTCAGCTATAAAGTGGGGATAATAAGAGTACCTACCTCCCAGAGTTGTTGTGAGGATCAAATGAGATAATATTTGTAAAGCACTTAGCACGGTTCCTGGCACATAGTAAGTACTATATAAATGCTTATTCCCTCACCTCAAACCACCTTCATTATTTTTTTTTCTTGTGTCTCTGTCTCCTTGTGTCAGAGTGTGGGTTTCCCTCATGTCTTACCTGACTTCATCTTAAAAACTAGATAATGCCTAAGAATAGTATTAAATCTGAGCTACTCTTTTGTTCTGTATTATATAGGATCCTTGAGCAGCCCTTTGGATAATAAAATCATTACCAAAGAACAAAGTTAGAAGAGATGTTGGTGTGGTCCTTTTACCAATCCCTTCAAGAAGGACCACTTCTAAGTCAACCTAGGCAAATGAGAATCTGTACTGATTTTGAAGATTCATAGGAAAAAAAAAAGACTCCAAAGCACTTCTTCAATGACATAGAAGTTTGGGGGGGGGGTTGTGGGAGTGTTTTGGTCTTGACCCAGGTGATTTTTAGGAACTCCCAGTGTGGAAACTCCCACTCCCAATGCCAATCAGCAGCTCTTCTGCAGTTTATTGTCTTAGACTATTGCCTGACATTCAGAGAGGTCAAACGTCTTGCTTGGTGTCATATGGTCAGTATCCACTATATCATGCTGCCTTTGTAACTTTTCTAATATATAAGCTACTAAACACATCCTTTCCTCTGCCCTGTGCAATTCTAATTTCTCTAAAAATAATTACAATTCAAATGGCCCAAGTCTGGAATGCAGCTCCTTAAGAACATTCACGCAAAGTTTGCTTGTATTTATGTTTCTTGTATTATCTGGCCATGTCACTCAAGAAACTCCAGGAGCTTCCTTTGACTCTAGGATAAAACATGAACTCCCATTTTTAGCTCTTCAAGGTCTTCCCATCCTCTGCCCTATCTACCTTTCTCCATCTTCTATTTCTCATCATTTGCGTTGGCCATCTCCTGTGCCTAGACTGCACTCACTCCTCACCTCCAATTCAAAGAAACTCCCTCTTCCTTCATCTTGCAGCTCAGGCACCACCTTCTAGGTGAAGCCTTTCCTGTTCCCCTCAACTGCTGGTGCCCTTCCCTAAAAACCACCTTGAACTTACCATTGTTCAGTCATTGTGACCCCACAGACCATAACCATGCCAACACTGCCTATGAGATTTTTGTGGCAAAAGTGCTGAAGTGGTTTGTCATTTCCTTCTTCAGTGGCTTAAAGCAAACAGAGGGTAAGTGACTTTCCCAGGGTCACAAAGCTATTAAATGTGTAAGTCCAGATTTGAACTCAGGTCTTTCTGACTCCAGGCCAGTGCCTGAACCACCTAGCCACCTTGAATTTAGCTACTTTGTATTTAATGGTATTTATTCTTTTTATTTTATACATACATACATACATACGTACACATGCATGTGTACGTATGTATGTATATATAGGTACTTCTACGTCATTGAAGAAGTGCTTTGGAGTCTTTTTTTTTCTATGAATCTTCAGAATCAGTATAGATCCTCATTTGCCTAGGTTGACTTAGAAGTAGTCCTTCTTGAAGGGATTGGTAAAAGGATCGTACTAATGTCTCTTCTAACTTTGTTCCTTGGTAATGATTTTACTATCCAAAGGGCTGCTCAAGGATCCTATATAATACAGAACAAAAGAGTAGCTCAGATTTAATACTAGTCTATGTATACATATACACATCTGTATATGTGTATATGCGTACAAATACATATCTACATATACATGCATACATAGATACATCTATATGTACATACACGCATAGGCAGCTGGTGGCACAGTGGATAGGGTGCGCTGAGCCTGGAGTCAGGAAAATCTAAGTTCAAATCCAGCCTCAGACACTTACTGTTTGACCCTAGCCAAGCTACTTAATCTCAGCTTCCTCTATAAAATGGGGATATACTTAGATGTGTACATGTTGTCTCTCCCATTATAATATTAGCTTCCTTGAGAAAAAGGGTTGTTCTATTCTTTATCCATGCCCCTAGGTATAATAGGGCCTAGCACATAATGAAAAAATGCTTGTTGATTGGTAGATTGATTGAATCCTCGAATGGAGGTCATATTTGAAGATGAAAGAAATTTAAAATGCTTTTTAGGAATCTGTCACACTTTTCTATTCCATACTATAAGCAATGTATAAATAGCGAGCCTTTAAATTTAACATGTAGTCAGGAAAAATTCTGGGGCAGCTAGGTGGTACAGTCTATAGAGTGCCAGGCCTGTAATCAGGAAGACCTGAGTTCAAATCCAGCCTCAGATACTTACCAGCTGTGTGACCATAAGCAAGTCACTTAACACTGTTTGCCTCCCTTTCCTCATCTATGAAATGACATGGAGAAGGAAATGGCAAACCACTCCAGTGTCTTTGCCAAGAAAACCCCAAATGTGGTCACAAAAAGTCAGACACAAGTAAAGATAACTGAACAACTACAGGAAAAATTTAAATGAGTAATTAAAATCCCACATCTACCTATCATCCATATCATTAATTCAATTCTAAGTCCTTGGGAAGAAGTGTCCATCAACGAGTTTCCTACAGTTGCCAGAAGGGAGCAGCGTCACTTGGCTCCGGAATACGTTTATTTAGAGCTCGGTGAAACTGCACCTTGGTGCTTTTCAGTTTCCTTGTTTCTGTGGAAGTCTAGGTCAACCTATTCAGATTGTGTGGAAATGAGTTACTTCAGAAGACCGATGGATAATTCATTAGCAAACAGAATCTTGGCTCTGGCCTATATTTGGCACCAGTCAAAGGAAGGGCGTATTGGATACCAGTAGTATTGACTAATGCTTCTGAATTTCCAAAGCAGAAATAAAATCATGGAATTTTAGTACCAACTTTCAGGGCTTGATAAATTAATTCAGTAGTTCATTATTCAGTGCAATTCAGAGAATCACAGGATTTCCTTAAAACCTTAAGGGACCTCAGCAACCACTTAGTCCAAGCTATTACCCCCAAAATTGAGCAGCTAGGTAGTACAGTGGATAGAGCACTGGTCCTTGAGTTAAAAAAAAACTCGAGTTCGAATCTAGCCTCAGACATTTATCAGCTGCGTAACTCTGGTCAAGTCATTTAATTCTGTTTGCCTCAGTTTCCTTATCTATAAAATGAGCTGGAGAAGGAAATGGCAAATCACTAAGAGTTGTACACAACTGAAAAAACAACTGAACAATAGACTTTGTAGATCAGAATGATGTCTTGTACGTGCTCCTAATGATGTAAAAGCAAACAGTGCCCTAAAAACTTTTTAAAGAAACACATTTTAATTAAGGGTTGTTTTTTCCAGCACTTTGTGAGGCCCCTCCTGAAATTGAGGGCATTTCCTTTATCTTGAGATACTGTAAAATCCCCCCCCCAACCTGGACCATAAAAATGCCTTGTCTCCCTCATCATGAGTCATCAAATTTCCCCTATCTTCCTTATCCTGGGTCCCCTATCCTATCATCCATCTTCCTCATCCTATGTCATGACAATCCCCACCCTTATCTTGTAAGATAAAACAGACCCCTATCCCTCTGTAAGTTGCTAGTCGTCTTTCCAGAGCTAGCCCGCTGCTTTTGGGTCAATAAA